TTGGATAATTTTCTTTATATTATATATGTTTACACGGCTATGCAAGTTGTGTGAATATATCATAAAAAGCTTTACACATAAAATGCATTACAGAGCATAAGCATAACATAAGGCTGCTAAACCAATGAGCATCTTATGTAAATCAATAAGGCGACATTAAATGTTCATTGACCCAGTAGTCTTATATTATGCTCTGTTATGCATTTCTTGTATAAAGCCCTTAATGGCCGCAGTACTTTTACATAACGCACAGTGTAACAAAAAAGAGAAAGTGAGAAAAGAACATTATGATCTCTTAAACTGCTGTTGGTCCTTCTGCGAGTTAATCATCGATTAATTTAACCAAAAGTTGGTGAAAGAGGCCCTAAAAGTCGCCCATAAGCCCGTATTCAGACTCTTAACCATAGGAAACAGGAAATAGAAAATAAGAATTTCAACTTATCAGAAATCATATATTGTAGAATACACAGTTTCTGTTAGATTAAAATTCTTATTTTCTGTTCCTTGTTCCTTATTCCTTTTATTGTGCGCAGCCCTTTATAACAATATTAGCGCCATAATGGAAAAGATAACATGGTGTGTGTACAGTCCTATATATAAAGAGACCCGACATTGATGTCAAAGTTCCTGATGGCAGTCTAATATGTATTCTGATTAGGTATCTCTTCCAAAGTAAAACAACCATAGGGTACGTTCGTTTATGCAGTTACTGCCGCAGATGTTCATCTATTCTACCTGCGAAGGCGATTGCAGCGCAGTTGCCTTTGTAGGTTGGATATCTTGCTGTTCATAATACCGCCAGCTATAATAGTCGATTGTATTACTAAAAGTAAATTTTATTAAAATAATAAAAAATGAAAAATGTTAAGAACAACTTCGAACAATTTCGTAGAGTCGAAATCGATCCTACTAAAGTGAAAATAATGCAACGTAAAATACAATATATAACGAAAAAGGTGTAAAGTTTGCTAATTTCTATTTACGATCAGATTAACCTAGTCACATCTTTTGGATGTAGATTAAAAATATCAACATACATAATGACTCCGGCACACCAGCGCGATGTTAATCGCGCGCTACACGCGATATCCAATGCCAGTTTATCTTTAGAATGAGAATATCGGTAAAGCTGTACACTTATTGGATATCCTGTGTCGCGCGCGACGAACATCAAGCTGGTGTGTCGAAGACATAAGAATTATAGAATTTTTATAAATAAATTTTTTAATATTTTGGGGTTTATTTAATATTTTCGGATTTTTTATTTAGGCCTAATTTTACAACTCACGGTTAACTCTTAACCGAGGTTCAACTTATTTTTCATCTCTTTCTAATTCTAACATTAAAGAGATAAAGAATATGTTTAAACCTCAGTTAAGAATTAACCATGAGTTATAAAACTGGTGCCCTATTTTTTAGCGCACGCATACATACACACACACACGCACGCGCACGCGCGCGCGCGCGCGCACACACATAATTTTTGAATACGAAAATGACAGTTTCTCAATTGTGATTGATCGATTATATACGGAATTGCTATTTCTGTATGCGATATTTGTTCAAGAATTGGCCCCTTAATTTTCAATCAGCTCAGTTTTTTCAAATTTTCTATTGGAAAATACGATTCAATATGGTACGAGCAGCTATTCATGCATAGATCCATTCGGTAAATTTAGATTATGTGACCAACAGATAAGAAAACAGAGGATGCCTGTGTTTAAGTCTTAATATCTCGGATCACAAAACAGAGCAACACTTTTTTTGCCAGATTTTTTTGTTTTATGCAAAAACGTCAAATAAACCTAAGAGTGGTCTCACAAGACTTTCTGATTTTAATGATTCATTCGCTTATATGTACGCGATGGAAAGATGCTGATTCCCCATAAGACGTACTTTTTGAGATGCGTGGGTTACGAAAACCAATCATAAATTCGTTTAGCATTTCTGTGTTAGAGTGTACAACAGAAATTCTAATCAGTAATTGGTCGCATTTTTCTAATCTTCCGCAAAAAATACGCTCAGTAAATCTCAGCTTTCAGAATGACTTATTCTAATAAATAAAATATAACGTATTCTAGTAAAATTACGCTTAAGCACATTACATCGCATGTGACATCCCCCTTAGACATGAAGATTTGCTTCAACCGTGTAGGCCATTTCATCATTTTAGTTGTTTAAATAATTTACATATTTATATTAGAGAGCCTGAGAGAGAGACAGAGAGAGAGAGAGAGAGAGAGAGAGAGAGAGAGAGAGAGAGAGAGAGGGAGGGGGAGGGG